AGCTGGGATGGGGGGTCTGGGATGGGCGGGGGAGGCCTGGAGGCAACTTAGCCCAGCTTGGGGGGAGCTGAGGTGGGGGAGGCCCAGCTTGGAGTGAGGAGGAAGGACCGTGGGGTGAGGAGGTCCTAGATGGGGTGGGAGAGGCCTGGGCTGAAGGCCTGGGTTGGAGGAGCCCAGCTGAGACTGTGGGGTGAGGGGATGCAGGCAGGGAGGCGAGGGAGACCGGACCCAGTGAGATTTTGGGCCTGGTTGGACTGGGTGAGTGGGACTCTTGGGAGGTGGGTTGGCCCAGCAAGGTGAGTGTGGCTCCCGTGGTGTCCCCCTAACCTTCCTGCACCCCCCAAGGTGTTCTTCGACCTGCGGATCGGGGAGGAGGACGTGGGCCGTGTCGTCATTGGGCTCTTTGGCAAGACGGTGCCCAAGACAGTGGAGAACTTTGTGGCATTGGCCACCGGAGAGGTGAGGAGCCCACGGACCCCTGGGCCTCACCGGCCCCTGGGAGGCTCCTACTGACCTGGGGCAGTGCTGGGTGCAGGGAGCTCTGGGCCATCCCTTTGCCTCACTCCGTGTTCTGCCTCCCCACTTCCAGAAAGGATTTGGCTTCAAGGGCAGCAAGTTCCACCGCGTGATCAAGGACTTCATGATTCAGGGAGGAGACTTCACCCGCGGCGACGGCACTGGAGGTAACTTGGCCCACGCCAGCCCATGGATCCAGCCACTGTCTGGGAGTGAAGCAGAAGCCACGTTCCCAACAGCTGCCTGGCTGCCCTGGGACCAGTGTGGAGCTGGAGCAATGTAGGAATGAGTGGGCATGGAGTTCATAGAGACCTGGCCTCAGAGCAGAGCTGGGTGCTGGGGTAACAGGGGTGCTGGGAGCCTCCTGCTCTGGTCCCTAGGGGCATGACCCTCCTTGCCCAGCTCATGGGGGGCTTCCAGCTCCCTCCAGCAGCCCATAGCTCATGGTTCCCTGTGGCATTGGCGTTCATCCCCACTATGAAAGTGCTCGTTCCCCCACCACCATCATCACCCCAACGCTGCCTTTTTGTCCCCACCCTTAGGAAAAAGCATCTATGGGGACCGTTTCCCTGACGAGAACTTCAAGCTGAAGCATTATGGGCCAGGCTGGGTGAGCATGGCCAATGCTGGCAAGGACACCAACGGCTCCCAGTTCTTCATCACCACCGTGAAGACGCCGTGGCTGGACGGGAAGCACGTGGTGTTTGGCAAAGTGCTGGAGGGCATGGTGAGGGCCCAGGGGGAAAAGGGGGCCAGGGAGAGTGGGACTGGGCAGGCGAATGGGCTGGGAGGCACCTGGAGAGGGACAGGGGTTGGCCAGGCTGGCTCTGCCTGTGTGTCCTACTCTCACACCTCTCCTCCACCCAGGACGTGGTGCGGAAGGTGGAGAACACGAAGACCGACAGCCGGGACAAGCCCCTAAAGGACGTTGCCATCGTTGACTGCGGCACCATCGAGGTGGAGAAGCCCTTTGCCATCGCCAAAGAGTGAGGGACCAGTGGGGGTGGCAGGGCCGGCACCGGGGACCTGCTGGGGCATGAGGGGGCCACGGGCCTGGGGCTGCCCCGCTCTTGGGGCAGGGGAGCAGCCACGGGGTCCTGCTGTGTCCCACTGCCCAGGCCCCTCTCCCAGCCAGTGGGACGGGGCACGGGCTCCTCTTCCATCACTTTTGTAAGAAGCACATGCTCCAATAAATGTGACCAATGTGTTTTTTAAAGAGCTGCCTCTCTCCTACCTTCATGGGGGTGCAGATCCCTTCCCATCCCTCACCTGTGTGCACCCCTCAGCCTTCCATCTCCCTTTTTCTACATCCCATCCAGCTGGGAGCAGTGCCACAGTTGGCCCCAGGTTTGCTTCACAGAATTCCACAGCACAGCACTTTGCCAGGCAGTGAAATCCAAGAGATTTATTGTACCAAAGCCAGATGCAGAGGGGTTTTCCAGCATGGTTCAGCATCCAAAGGCTCCAACCACAACCCCAAAATATTGGGAAGAAGGCAGAGCTCCTACTCTCTCAGAAAAGGCACTTTGGATGGTGGGGGGAGAGCAGCTGTGGCTCCCACTGTCCCCTTGGGTTCTCCCACCCAGTTTTCCTGCCCCAGTCCAGTGGGGAGGAGTCATTTTCACCACAGGTGAGGATCTTTTCCTCACCACTGCAGCCCTGGGAGCTGGGTGGGTGCCTGGGAGCCTGGCATTCCAGGGGCTCAAGGCACTGCCTGGCTGGGGGTGCAGCTTGGAGGGAGGTAAAGGCCTTGCAGGACCCCGGTGAGGACGGTGTTGGGGAGCAGATCTGCAAGGAGAGGAGGGAGCTGGAGCAGCTGGTTCCCTCCTGAGCCCCATTAAAGGAAAAACATCTTTTAGGGACCCAGGAGAGCCTTTTGGAGGTTTTGGGGACCTTCTCTGTGGTCCTGCTCCCTACCAGTGTCACCTGGCCCCACGTATGGATCAGAGCAGAAGCCGATGACAGGGCGCTGGGAAGGCAGGAGTCTGCTGCCATGAGAGAGGGGATATCAGCCCCTAGCCTGTCCCCATCATCCCCAACCCTGTGTCCTGGGGTGCTTTGCACAAGTCAGGGAGATGATCCCAGAGCCGTACGGGATAACCGTGGTACCAGTAACTCATCTACTCACGAGGGGCTGCCGGCCTTGGGGTCTTGCTGGCACCGCCGCACCTTCAGGAAGTCCAGCACATCCTGGGGCAGCTCCTTGTTGTGGTACAGGACACCCTACGGTGGCCCAGGACAGGTCAGCATCCCCAAAAACCCACCCCACCCCACCGCTGTGCGCACCTCACCCGCAGGTAGAGCTCCAGGCCCTGCCGGCGCTGCTCCAGTGCTTTGGGCATCCAGTGGGGGACATGGCGTGGGGGGAAGTCGGGCACCTTGCAGGTCTTCTTGATCTGGGGTGGAGCATGGAGGGCATCAGGGCAGTATGGGCCAGGGAGGATGAGGCTGAGCCTCCTCGTGTCCCCTCCCTGTGTCCCCTTCCAGCAGAGCCAGGGGGTCTCACCCGCTTGTGTAGTGCCTGGAACTCGCTGTAGCGCTTGGTCACCGTGTGCCGCCGGCCATCGCACAGCACCTCCACCCGGAACACCTGCAAGGGGGGCAGACCTCATCCACCTCATCCTCACCAGCCTCATCATCATCATTCTCACTGGCCTCATCGTCCTCACCATCCCCATCATCCTCACCGTCCTCATCATCTTCACTATCCTTATTGTCCTCACCATCCTCATCCTCACCATCCCCATCATCCTCCCAGGGAAGGCAGGAGCCCCCAGTTCCCACACACACTCCCCACCTAGGGAGGGTACTTGGGAATCTCTACCCCCTCCCACTGTCCAGGACAGGCAGAGACCTCCAGCCTCTCGAGTAGACTCCCAAACCTCTGGGGGCAGATGAGGTCACCATGGGAGCAGGCAGGAATCCCCAAAAGCAGATGGGACGCCCCCTCCCAGATCAGTCAGGAAGGTGTGACAGCCTGGGGTTGGTTTGATATCCCACCCCTCACCAAACCCCAGGGCAGTCAGGACCCCTGGGGCTGGCAGTGACCTTCACCCCCTGGGGCATGTGGTGACACCAGGGAGGGGCACATGGGGACCTCCAGCTGCTGGGACAGGGAGAAAAACCACCCTTCCCTAAGGCAGGTGAGATTCCCTCCACCTGGGGACAGTCATGGACCTCCACCCCCTGAGGCAGGCAGGGGACCCTGCTCTTTCCCCATGGGGTCAGAGGGAACCCCCAGACCAAGGGTTCCCCACCCTCCATTCCCCAGGATCAGTGGGAATCCTCCAGCTAGGGACACCCAGTGCCTTCAAGGGTGGAATGTCCCCAGGCAGACACCCCTGAGGACATACAGGGACCTCCACCCCATGGTGCCACAGGGTAACCCCTGAGCCAAGATACAAGGGCAGAGGGCCCACCTCAGTAGGAAACCCTGTGGGGACCCCTGCCCAGCACCCCCTGGGCCAAGGACCCCTGTCCCCTCCCTTTCAAGGGCTATGTGTCCCCCTTCCCAAGCAGGGATCCATGAGAATCCAGCTGGGGACCTCCACTCCCCCAGGCAGATAGTCCCATCTGCCCCTCTCTTCCCTCTCC